CCCATCTAGCGGATACAGTTTTCCCCCCACCAGCCCCTCAGAAACACAGGTCCCGGATCATTCAAACCATCCTTAAAACGATTTACAGAGCAGGCCCTGGTAAAGCAGCATATAGTTTGTGTGTTACAACCTAAAGAAGTTGATTTGCAGTTGTAAGGAAGTGCAGGGGAGGAAAGTAGGCATACTGACCTTGAAAGCAGACTGGGAAGTAGACAGCATTCCAGTGAAAAGAAATGCAGAAGAAAGAGAGAAAGAGAGGTGAAAATACACCTAGATTGAGCTGGGTTAACTTGGAAAGCTAAGACATGAGTTAACAGTGCATGAGCCTTCACATGTAGACTTGCTGATAAATAAAAAATGAAAGGAAAAATACATAAAAAAAATTTAATCACAAAGATGATTTAAGGTAGAACCTGAAAATGTGACATGCAATCTCACATGCTTCTTCCTTTAAAAAAATACAAAGTTAATGAAAACCATATGCATCTTTAGTAAGGCTGTGAAAAGTGATATGAATATACAGATGAATGAATCCATTTATTCACAATTATACATAAAATTTTCAGAGAAGAGCATAAAATGGGCTTAAAATGTAATAATATTAATAAAAAAAAATAATTACAACTTACTATAAAGGAGCATTCGCAGTCAGAATATTCAATTTGTCAATTCAATTCAATAGTCAACTTGTCAGAATATTCACAGTGCACAATGACAGGTTTATTCAAATCTAGACTAGAAATACAATAATATAATATAATCCATACATCTATATACATTTGATCTGTATACTATATAATAATAATAATATAGTATAAAAATCTAAACATACATTATATTACATAAAATACATATTAAGACATGAGTTAACAGTGCATGAGCCTTCACATGTAGACTTGCTGATAAATAAAAAATGAAAGGAAAAATACATTAAAAAAATTTAATCACAAAGATGATTTAAGGTAGAACCTGAAAATGTGACATGCAATCTCACATGCTTCTTCCTTTAAAAAAATACAAAGTTAATGAAAACCATATGCATCTTTAGTAAGGCTGTGAAAAGTGATATGAATATACAGATGAATGAATCCATTTATTCACAATTATACATCAAATTTTCAGAGAAGAGCATAAAATGGGCTTAAAATGTAATAATATTAATAAAAAAAAAAAATTACAACTTACTATAAAGGAGCATTCGCAGTCAGAATATTCAATTTGTCAATTCAATTCAATAGTCAACTTGTCAGAATATTCACAGTGCACAATGACAGGTTTATTCAAATCTAGACTAGAAATACAATAATATAATATATAATATAATATAATCCATACATCTATATACATTTGATCTGTATACTATATAATAATAATAATAATAATATAGTATAAAAATCTAAACATACATTATATTACATAAAATACATATATGCATTTTTCAAAAATATATTTTTTTATTTAATCATTTATCACTCAATTATATTATTATTATTATTATCATCATTATTATTATTAAATGTTTTTAATCTTTGGTTACATACCTATTTTATTACAAAATATACTAGTGGGTGAAGTTGTAGATGTTCTGAGAGTGTTTTGTATGGCTTATGTTTCAATATTAAAATAACACTCAAAAAATACAATACACAGTAATGTGTTAAATTTAGTCCTTAAACATTTCCATAGAATGCACCGCATCTTTTCTGAAACTCAAAGGCATATCATATTTTGAGACTCTGCTTCACTATCCTTACAAATAGTACTTCTGTTGTGCTTTTTTCATTTGTTTTACCTCTATTTCTTTGCTACTTGTCTCCTCTAGCTCACTCTCCCATTTTAGCTCCGTCTCAAACAGTGAGCCTCACAATCCTCCATAATTACCTGCAAATTTACAGCTACCGGATTTATGAAATAAATACCCCAATGCCCCAATTCACCCTCTGCCATTTTTATGTGACTTTGAAGGCATTTTCGAACAAGGCCTGCCTCCGTACTACTGATCTGCAACAAGAGGAGCGTTGGCTTCTCCATCTCGGAGCATTCGGAGAAAGGTAATCCTGACTCTGAACAGAACGCGTCGCTTCTACCTGCCACTCGCATCTTGATTAAAGACGCAGGCGCTAACAAAAGAGGATCTGTCTGAACAACTCTCCGTCACAACCACATCAAGAGTGCTGGAAAACTACGACACAGGGAGAACAATGGGAGGTTTTTGAGAACCGAACTCCCCGGTGTGTTTCGAGAACATAACTCGACTCTGAGCGGTAATTAGCTCAGAGCGCCACGGTTAGCAATTGCGGCTGGTGTTTATTTCAGAAATTGTCTCTCAGTTGACATGAATGATGCATCGAGCCAACCATATGGAGTTTGTTTTAGTCTAATCCTCTCCTAACGCAGATCTGTTAAGAAAGTGTGAGACATTCAGTGCGCGTCAGATGAATATTTATGAATCAACAGAAATCCACCTAAAAACACTTCTAGTATCCAACGGCGAGAGCAAATAAATGGCCCTGTCCAACTTCCAACTACAACACCGCTTTGAAAAGCCTGACGGAGGCTGTAAGGGAGTACTACACGACTGTCAATGCACAACATCAACATCTGTGACCTCCACGACTCTTCACCTCCAGCCCAGACTCTTGTCTGTTTACACTCAAGCCCGATTTCAATTATTCATCTCCTTTATTTCTTTATGAAAGCCAAGACGAGAGAAGCTCTATATATGCCTTCCATTAATTAGTCCAATTAAACAGGCCAAAAACACAGATGTTTACACCACCGACATAAAGTGCAACATATCCTGGGAGGAGCAGACATGCATAATAGTTGGAGCTCTTATTCTCCATGTCTATGAACACAGAACATACACTGCCTTTCAAATGTTTGGGATCAGTAAGATTTTTCATGTTTTTAATGGAGTCTCTTATGCTCATCAAGGCTGTATTTATTTGATCAAAAATGCAGAAATAAACAGAAATACTGTGTAATATTATTGCAATTTCTAATATTGGTTTCTTATTTTAATATACTTTAAACTGTAATTAATTTCTGTGACGTAGCGCTAAATTGCAATTACATTTTTTTCTGTATTTTTGATCAAATAAATGCAGCCTTGATGAGCATAAGAAACTTTTTTAAAAAACCTTAATTTTACCGATCCCAAACTTTTGAATGGTACTGTACTTTGGGAACAGAGCAATGTGTTGGAGATTAGAACTAAATCTATGCTTGCAATGAATCTATCAGACAATGTCAGTTGACATGAATGATGCATCGAGCCAACCATATGGAGTTTGTTTTAGTCTAATCCTCTCCTAACGCAGATCTGTTAAGAAAGTGTGAGACATTCAGTGCGCGTCAGATGAATATTTATGAATCAACAGAAATCCACCTAAAAACACTTCTAGTATCCAACGGCGAGAGCAAATAAATGGCCCTGTCCAACTTCCAACTACAACACCGCTTTGAAAAGCCTGACGGAGGCTGTAAGGGAGTACTACACGACTGTCAATGCACAACATCAACATCTGTGACCTCCACGACTCTTCACCTCCAGCCCAGACTCTTGTCTGTTTACACTCAAGCCCGATTTCAATTATTCATCTCCTTTATTTCTTTATGAAAGCCAAGACGAGAGAAGCTCTATATATGCCTTCCATTAATTAGTCCAATTAAACAGGCCAAAAACACAGATGTTTACACCACCGACATAAAGTGCAACATATCCTGGGAGGAGCAGACATGCATAATAGTTGGAGCTCTTATTCTCCATGTCTATGAACACAGAACATACACTGCCTTTCAAATGTTTGGGATCAGTAAGATTTTTCATGTTTTTAATGGAGTCTCTTATGCTCATCAAGGCTGTATTTATTTGATCAAAAATGCAGAAATAAACAGAAATACTGTGTAATATTATTGCAATTTCTAATATTGGTTTCTTATTTTAATATACTTTAAACTGTAATTAATTTCTGTGACGTAGCGCTAAATTGCAATTACATTTTTTTCTGTATTTTTGATCAAATAAATGCAGCCTTGATGAGCATAAGAAACTTTTTTAAAAAACCTTAATTTTACCGATCCCAAACTTTTGAATGGTACTGTACTTTGGGAACAGAGCAATGTGTTGGAGATTAGAACTAAATCTATGCTTGCAATGAATCTATCAGACAATGCCAGAATCCCATAATGCCGTGGGATGAGCGCTGAAGTTGCTCTCCAAAATCTCCTGCAACTCAGTTCTGGTCTAACGCCAAAATAAACGGAGGATAAGAAATGACTGAGTGGGTGAGAATGGCAGCTAACAAAGAACACAAACAGAAGACACCCTCGTCTTAATCCTTGCCCCAAACAGCTCTTTTAGCTCTTGCTCTAAAACCAAAAAATGTTGAGAGGACATAGAGTACTAATGTGCACACAGTTGAAGTATACAATGATAAGGACACCCTAGAGTCTTAAATACAAAAAAAAAACTCTTTTGAACTGAATTGGTGACTTATCTGTTAGTAACGATATATAGAAATAGGTACATTTACACTAGGGTTGTCGCAATACTCAATACAAGGGACATTTTTACTGATGCTAGAAAGGCTGATATTGTTGCTTTTATTTCAGCAAGCAATCATGAATCCTGCAGTGGAAACATGGCAGATGGAGAATGGAAAATAAATTGTGGAAGTTGCATAAATGAAAAATTGAAAAAATATTGGGCTAAATACAAGATAAACTGAACATGGAACTGAAGATTACGTGCGTAGCAACAAACGTGGTAAAACAGACACAAACCAAGTAAGAGGTTGCAAGTATCCGCTCATTTGGGGGTTTTATCCCCAAAAGTAACCTAAATCTTGCAGAACCTTACTTTGTGGAAAAAATTCACGAATGAAATCAATTATGTTTAAATTTAAAAAGGGTTTGGATTAGTCAATAGTAGCTACATAAAAACAACAGAAGTCTATATTGTCTTATACTAAGAGTAAACGTGTAAGTTTGTGTACCTCTCCAGCTCGTTGATCTTGCGATCCTTGTCGTTCTTCTCATTCTCCATCTCACGGAGGATTTCCAGGAGCCGGTCCACCTCGGCCTGTGCCTTCCCAGCATCCTCTTTGTAACGCACCACCTCCTGCTCAAGTGTGGCAATGCGCTCCGACAGTCCTGCATTTGTCTGAGCCTCAACTGCGATGGATTGAGCCTGTAGGGGCCAAAAATACAGTCTCAGGGGGCAAGCACAACAAAGTCTGGATTTTTTTTTATGTAAAATAATATAATTATAAATTAAAATAAATTTACCAAATAAGATGTTAATAATAAATTAAGATGATAAAAATGTTAAAACTAAAAAAATAATGTACTGTAAAATGTATTTATTTTATTAAAATACATTTTACAGTACATTATTTTTTATTTTTGTAAAAACTGATGCAGATGTTTTACATTTAATTTTTTATCTGAGTTATATTCATCATATTCATCATGACGTCATATTTTGTCACGTTTGCCAGTAAGATGATTGATAAAAATAAAATAAAATAAAAAAATAGAATAAAATAAAAAGACTGATACAGATAGTGATATCTAGAAAGGACTAATTTTTCATCACTGAGTTGAGACACATTTTGTCATGTGTTTTTGTGATTGACACCGCCAAGGGAACACCTAAAATAAAATAAAATGAAATTAGTTAATTACATTTTTTTTTAAATAAAATAAAAATTGACATTAAATTAGTGTTGTCTGAGATAAATTGTTTGCAAATATTTAATGTATTATTTAATCACACTGGATTTGGTGTAAACAGGCCTTACACCCCAGAAAAAGTCTCAAAGCAGTTTTATAATGTCCTCCCCTGAACAGTTCGACAAGCTTTGGGTTTTGCACTGGTCTGTGCTGTGAATGGACAAGAAGACATGAGGCTCCCCTGACTTCAGCTCTCCAAAGACAAGCTGTCAGCGGTCAGACCACTGTCATGAGTGCGCGTGTGTGTGTGTGTGTGTCTGTGGGCTGTTTTGAGATCTCAGACACTTGCCTCACACCTGCAGGCTGTGTGTAAGCTTCCCCATGACATCACGACAGGATACGCTCTCATTACAGGGACACATGGAAACACAATCATGCTGAAGTCATCAAAATAATTAGTGACATTACGGCCGTCTAAAGGGCCGGGTCAAGGGCCTCCTCTAATGAAAAGTAAATCAGTTCATTTCCCTGGACAATTAAAGGAGTCAGCCGTAATGTTTCTTTCATAAAAGTCCTCTAAAAGAACACAGGTGTCTTCCTGCTGCTGTGAAAACACAAACACAGTGCAGGCTTTACAAGCTGAGGACACAAGAGCTCTGTGTCCTTTACACCATGACTACATGCGCATAAATGTGTACATACCACATCTGAACGCAGAGGACATTCAAAGATAGCTTCAATGTGTCCAAAATATGGTTACAAAACTAACCAGGCATGAAAAGTGATTAAAAAACATTTTTCCTCACTAGAAACCTGCAACAGTGCTGGTTTAAAAAATACAGCAAAGTGTCTGGCATCCGAGGTCTCTTCAGACTGGCACTGTGTGAAAGAGGACTGTTCTGGTTTATTGGGGATAATATTTAAAGGTGACGTTTAGGCCCCGCTAATTAGCTTTATTAAAGTCTCGGCCTGAGGTTGAGTAGGTTTCCACTCTGACCGCCAAGAGCTTGTCATCTGTGGACGGGCCGGCTGGTGCATGAGAGTGCGTGTAAAAGGCTAAGTCTGGCAGAGAAATGAAAGTTTGTATACGAAAACATACGATACACACATTTAACGTGCAATTAGCATCAAGAATGTGTCAGAAAGAGGGCGGAGCAAAGAAAATCTGTCAGTACTAGGCACTTTCCACGAATGGAGTCTACAACGTTAAAATGATGTAAATGATGTAATTATTTATTTTCTTTTTCAACAAATAGTCAGTGAAAGGAGGTGCTTAACCGTCAGAAAATTGTAACAAAAATATACAACAAAAAATTAAATATAATTTGAGCTGTTTATTTTCTATTCATTTTCTTCAAATGGAGGTTTACAACTTTTTCCAACCTGGTTACTAAAATTTGGGGAATAAATACAGTTTAATAACAAAAAGAAAAAATTTAAATCCTTTTGACTGTTATTTTCTATGAATTAAATATGAAAATTAAATAGACAAAATGTAATGAATAATAAAATAAAATACATATAAAACAAAATATAACATAAAATAAAATAATGGTCGATGCAGATACTATTATCTAGAAAGGATTAATTTTTCATCATTTCACTGAGACACATTTTGTCATGTGAAATCTGAGTGAGTTTCAGGGGACAAACATAGTCTTTTATTTAAAAAAAGAATGAATGAATAAATGAATAATAAAAAATTAAATAAAATCGGAGTTTCGGGGCAAACAGTCTTTTTGTTTAAAAAAAAGAATTAATTAATTGAAAATAAAATAAAATCTGAGTTTCAGGGGCAAACAATCTTTTAAAAAAAAAAAAGAATGAATGAATTAGTTAATTAATTAATTAAATAAAAGTAGCTAGGTTGGGACCAATGCTGGTTTGATAGACTTATATTTCCCATAAATTATATAAAATCAATTATAATTTAAATTATAAAATAATTTCCTTATTAAAATAATGGGGAATGTTAAAGTTTGACAAATGCAGTTAGCATTCAAAAAGTGTGTAAAAATGTGAAAATAGATGATTTACTTTTAGTACAATAAATGTCAAAATAGCAACTTTTTTGCATGATTTTAATTGGCAGATGCATCCTTGAATACATCTAACAATTAAAGGAGGGATATATATATATATATTGATGTGTTTAAAACAAAGTGTACCGTATTCTTGGAATGTGCCACATTCTTCTGATCACATGAAAAGCATGTGTTCAGGACCACTGACAAACCCCTTCACAATACGGACACAGATGTGTACTTTGAACTACAGAAAAAAGGACAAAAAAGAAAAAGTGACAGCGAGACAGACAGACTGGGCAGGAAATAACTAGCATTCTGTATACAGTTATTAGGGGGTGTCTGCTTGTAAGCTCCATGAAGCTTGTTGGTATTGGAAAGCCAGAGTGGTCAATCCATACGGCACCATCTTTCAAAGGAACAACCAGTGTCCCAGAATGCACCAAACAGGGGCTTGTGGGAAATGCGGTTTAATAATGTTGTTTAATAATGTGTTTGTGCCTGTGCCTGTTTGGCCGAGCAAAATAAAAGAGCGACTGTGTGAAAACAGCACACAGTTGCAGTGTTTATATGCATTTATGCTGACTTTCTTGACCTATAAATGTTCTTGCGAGAAAACATCTCGGTGTTGAATGATATAAAAGTGCATGTGTGCGCAGCAGGGGATATAAAAGAGAGTTTTGATGTGCGTCCATATGAAGTAGTTGAGGAAGTGCATTGGGGAACTCTTGGCTGGTTTGAGTAATGTAGACCGTTGGATGTCTTGGTGGCATGCACCGCGCTGACACCTCCATCTTCATACACTCCTGACAGTCACGCAGGGACTCCTCCTCCCCCTTTCTGTCTCATCCAATCACAGCAGACGCCCACCAAGCTGTCAGCGGGTTTTCACTTGCACAGCTTTCATATGCGAACACAGACGCACACACGCTGCCAGAGATTTCATTACTCTTGGAACGGACGATGGGACCCAGATCTTCTCATCAAGCCATACAAAGAGCTCTGAATATGCGTACGGAGGTGACCGGTTCATACGAGAGCTCAGCATCACCATTCAGAACTAAAAGTACTTGCACAGTTTTGAAAAAACGAACAACCACAATCGCCTACATACACAGAAGAACACAGACTATGAACACTTAAGCGTATGAATATTTACAGGAGTGATTTAATTCAAGATGTCATCATTTACTCAGTCATGTTGTTCCAAACTTGTATGACTTTGTTCTGGAAAACTCAAAAAGAGAAATTTTGAAGAGTGTTTATGCTGCTCTTTTCCACAAACAAAAAGACAGACTGTCAAACTTCAAAATGCACAAAAAACACTATAAAAATCATTATAAATGCCATTACAATTTCAATTTTGGGCTTGAGGATGTATATAGTTTTTTTCTGTTAGTTTGTTTGTTTGTTTTTTTCACCTGAAAATGGAGAAATTACATAAAATGAATAGGTATATGACAATACTGTCTTGAATTGCTAATTCATTGTAAATATAAGATTAAAAAAAATTATATATTAAAAAATATAAATTAAAAAAAAGAGACTAAAACATTAAACAAAATGTATTTCAAACTACAGTACTCAACATTTGAAGTGGATCAAAAAAGTTCATCAAAGTTGTCCTAAGACAAGAACGCATTTTGGTTTTAGGTTTTAGGACAACTTTGATGAAAGGTTTTGATCCACTTCAGATGTTGACTAGTATATTTTAAAATAAAAGGTATTTTAATTAAGTAAAATAAAATAAAATAATAAAATGGTAGTAGTAGTCAGGGTTAGTTTAGTATCATTGAGATATTATTATAGTTTTAACTGTTTGAATACATTTTTTATCATTTTAGTTAAGGGTTTACTAATTTTGTTGTGTTTTTGACATCATTCTTAGTTATATACATATATATATGAAAAAACTGTGAAAATGAGAAATGTTGCCTTAGAGTGTTTATACTATATATATAAGTGCTGGGCAACGATTAATCACAATTAATAGCATCCAAAATAAAGTTTTTGTGTACATAATATACGTGTGTTTACTGTGTATATTTATTGTGTATATATTAAAAAAACACACATACAGCATAGATATATATATATATTTAGAAAATATTTACATGCATTTACATATATTTATATTCATAGAATTTATATTATTTATAAATATATATAATATATAAACATACAATTTTTATTAAATATATACATGCATGTGTACACAAAAAAAATATGTACACAACTTTTATTTTGGATTCGATTAATCGCGATCAATAATTATCCAGCACATTTTGCATGTTCAGAAGAAGTGAGCTGCCCTGTCTTGCAAAAATGTAAACAGGCTTGTGTAAGTAAATTGCTTAGTGCAAATAAAGAGACATAATGGGAACCTGGTATTTCTGTTCTTTTTCATGTGTCTAATAGACATGAACAAGTTCTTTGAAAAACATCTACGACCTTTAAAACATGTCTAGTCTTCATGCTCTATGTTGACTATGGTTTCAATAATAATAAACATATATTGCATAAAGCATCCTTATTTGTCCATGCCCATGTTGACTAGAGTATTAAAAACTTGAAAAGTATTAATTTAAGGTACATTTAGAACAGATAAAAATTTGCAATTTAGTTGCGATTAATCACGAGTTAACTCATGACAATCATGTGATTAATCGAGAGTAAATATTTTAATCGATTGACAGCCGTAATATATATATATTACGGTTTAAGTTTATTTTAATTCAAGTAATAAAAATTATTTATGATTTTAATATCTGTTAACCATAATAACTCAAATATTAATAAGAATCAAACACTAATAATAATAATCGTGGTGGATGCTGCACACTGGTGGTGGATGAAGAGATACCCCCTGACCATGTAAAGTGCTTTGAGTGCCTAGAAAAGCGCTATATAAATGTAATGAATTATTATTATTATTAATCATCATCATCATGCCCATGTTCCATCATACTAGTCTGGAATGACAAGAAAGTGACCAAACGATGACAAATGTTACTTTTTGAGGGTAAATGTCCCTTTAAGACAACTATACTAACACTAAAAACTATGGTTGGGCACTTTAAAAGTGTAGCATCTGTAAAGGCACGTGCACACCATACTGACACAGCTCAATGCGACACATATCAGCTTACAAACACACCACTAAATCCAAGCTCCACTGAGGACCAACGTCAAACCACACAAGATCATCACTCTCAAGCTTTAGATAAGGACGGATCTCATGCAAGCAAATCTCAGAACACTCAAGAGACTCCGCCAGCTCCCTAACATATCCTCTCTATCTCACATACACACAAAACTAAAATTGAGTTAAGCCTCCAGCTCATGCAAGCAAAGCTCCACTCACACATTTATTAGTCACACTCTCACACACACACACACACACACACACACACA